ATGACCATCTAATTTGGCTTTTTATTATCCTGTTTTGACATCCCATAGACGAATAGAGTTATCACTATTACCAGAAGCTAATGTATTTCCATCAGGAGAGAAACAGACTGATACGACAGCATATTAATGACCATCTAATTTGGCTTTTTATTATCCTGTTTTAACATCCCATAGACGGATAGACTTATCAGCACTACCAGAAGCTAATGTATTTCCATCAGGAGAGAAACAGACTGAAATAACATAGTTAGTATGACCATCTAATTTGGCTATTTTTTTCTTAGTTTCAACATCCCATAGACGGATAGACTAATCACTACTACTAGAAGCTAATGTATTTCCATCAGGAGAGAAACAGACTGAGTTGATACAATTACTATGACCATCTAATTTGGCTTTTTATTATCCTGTTTTGACATCCCATAGACGGATAGACTCATCATAACTACCAGAAGCTAATGTATTTCCATCAGGAGAGAAACAGACTGATAAGACAGTTCCACTCTGACCATCTAATTTAGCTTTTTATTATCCTGTTTTGACATCCCATAGACGGATAGTACGATCACCATCTCCAAAAATACTACCACCAGCTGATGCAATAGTTTTTCCATCAGGAGAGAAACAAACTGATGAAACAGGTCCATTATGACCATCCAGTTTATTCAATTCATGGACTTTTATGTTCTTCCATTTACAATTGAATAGTTAAGCACCATTCAAATTCAATCCACTAATATCTACATTATCAAATTCTGATTCACTCAAGTTACATCTTACAAAATTACCTCCAATTAAAGATGTATTCTTTATTCTGATATTCTCAAAGGATTGGTTTCTTATATCAACCTTCATTGCCACTAATAAACTTAATCCATTTGATCCCGATTGAATAAATTTTACATCTATGCTTGTAAGTAGTACTAAAAATTTTATGAAATATGTGGTCCCATTGTTATCTTTCATCCTCTTGATCAGATCCGCTCTTTCCTTATCATATGTTTCATGAGAATAGTCATCCTTACTAAATTTATGATCTTAAATATTCCTCAATACATTAGTTATTTTCTTTACTTACTTCTTGATTTCCATTATATTCTCTTACTTTTAGTTTAAAGATTCATAAAACTGATTATTGTTTGTCTTTGACAGGAATCCAATAATGTCTGAAACTTTCTCTTTAAACGATTTATATTAATTAGATGGTCATAGTAATTGGGTCTAGTCAGTCTGTTTCTCTCCTAATGAAATACATTAGCTTCTGGTAGTAGTGATAACTCTATCCGTCTATGGGATGTCAAAACAGGATAATAAAAAGCCAAATTAGATGGTCATAGTGATACTGTCTACTCAGTCCGTTTCTCTCCTGATGGAAATACATTAGCTTCTGGTAGTGGTGATTAGTCTATCCGTCTATGGGATATCAAAACAAGTATTGTTCAGATTATAGATATAAAGAAATTTAGGTTAAAAATACAAGATATCCTTTTTTTAACACCCTTTTGCAGTAAAAGAATATTATTTAAAATTTAGATACATCTAATATTATGGTTTACCCAGACTTCAATTGTTCAAGGTTTAAGAGAGTTTTTCTATAAAAAACCGTTTCCTTTTAGAATTATTGGAGTAAATTATAATTTCTTACAATAACGCTTGATTAATTTACAAACTAACCTATATTAACCCTTAATTTAAATCTATTTTAATATACTTCTTGTGTCCAATATTTGTTGATAGAGTTCTATTTTA